TTCCTTAAAAAATTGTTGAATAATTACAAGGTTTTCATGAATGAGTACATGAGTCTTGTTGATTTTGGTTGGAAAAATTACTTTGCCCATACAGGTGATGACCCGCATTCGGTTATCGCACTGCTCTATATGGATGGCTCATTTGTGCAAGATACCATTTAGTTTTTGGCTGAATGGAGTCTTAGAATTGCTGGAGCCTTTCCAAAAGTCTTAAGTTTGCTGCGACGTGACTTCCTCATGTCGTCACTGTACTCGTTGACAGGATCGAATCAGTGAATCAAGAAGACTTGTCACCTTCACGCTAGAATTCTGTCACGTTGCTAATTTGTTAAACAAATTTATTTCTTGTTTTAGATGGAAATGTTGGAGACCTTCGCAACTCCGCCGTGCTTGGAGAGGAACTGGTTACTGTGGAAAACGCCTAGATACCTAGAAAGAACCATTACTACAGCAGGGTAGGTCGGAATCACAGAGTTAGCGGAACATCGAATAATAACTCCTCGGAATCTTCGACTCACTTGAACGGCGCCTAGTGAAGCCTCCGCTTGATTCTATGCTCTGAAAGACTAGGCCAATAGTTCCCTTTTGCTTCAGAGACTCAAAGAACCAAAATTTTCTCCAGTGGGGCAGTTTTTCCATCATGAAGAAGTGTAGACCACCATTAAGCGATTCTTTTGACGTGTAATGTATATCCGTTGGGACCTAATAAGTAATGGTTCTGTCCACTGGTTATTGTTAAAACAAATCACGTATGCGGTCAAATTCACAGCCGAAGCAGACCACCTCTATGGAAGTATCCGCCCTTTTAATCATGAATGAGATACCAAAAATGAATGGGTTGTATAAATAATTTCAATAATTTTAGCGGCTTGGCATCACCATATCAAGAAACTTTCATTCGATTTTGAGAGTTTCTAAATAAAACTTCTCGTGACGATTTTAAACCATCGACTCTGTTAGTACCACGGTGAAGGTGTTTGAAGCCATCGGTTTTGTAGTGCTTCGAGGCCCCTGAAAAAGTGCTGTAATATCGCAGTTAGGACCGTCCTTGTCCGCGAGGTATCTTCATCACAGACTTGATAGATCGCTATGGCTATGGCAGGGGCAGGCTATGGCAACGCATTATGTATGCGAAATATGCATTGAATCGCCAATACGATGCTTAATAGAGTGAACTGCATGGCGCATCCCCAGGGTATCGATCAACACCGGGTGCTTCATGCTTTGTCGTGAAGATGTTAGACGGGCCGGCAGTACACCTTTTCATGTTGTCGATGGCACCATCTTAGTAAAAACCAGCGAGACATTTCAACCAACCACAATCTATTGTGGGATTGGAGTTTTCTTTTGAACATTGTGGCTTACTCTTTTTGCTAAAAGTGTTTGCTGAAAGGGTAATGGCCTGACCTATGCATAACGGGGAACCTCAGAATTACTACGATGAGGCCGTCTTTGTCGTGGTACCCTCCACCAAAGAGACATTTCATGACCAGTGCTGAGCAGAGGGCTTATAAAGTTGTGAGTTATCATACACGATAATAATTATGGTCTTGGTCATCATAATAAAATGACATAGCTTTTGTTCATTTCATTCCAATCCGTGGAAATTCTCAGCTCGAATTTCTTCATATGTGCTCCAGGGAGAAATCCTGGCGTCGAAATTGCCAATAATGACCATTTAGATGATATTATCGCTAGGACGTAGCCGACAAAGGTTTTGAAACCCTTCATTAGCACATATCTTCTCAATCATAAATCTTCAATTCGAAAGGCTTTTTAAAGAATCGGTCTTGAAGAAACTCTGTTAACAAAGCAACAATGCCGACAGTCTACTAACGCATAGTCAAAGGAAAGGTCGTTTTAGAGAATTATAAATAGCACTTAGAAAGCGTTCCAGTTTCAGTTTCGCAATTCCTTTTCGTTTCAAATGGTCTGGTGATGTCGCACCAACTCTTTCTAGTTTACATCATCAAGTCCTTAGTTAAGGGATGATATAGACTAAAAATAGTAAATATGTGCATATGTGTACGTATGTGTGTTTTGCATATGTATGTTTATGTGTGTATTTGCGTGTGTGTATGCATGTATGTGGTTGTGTGTGCACATGTGTGTGTGTGTGTATACATTGAGTACGTTGCGCATGTGTGTGCGTGTGTGTGTGCGTGTGTGTGAATGTGTGTGTGGATGTGTGTATGTGCGTGTGTATGTGTGTATGTGTGTGCATGTGTATGTGTATGTGTGTATGTATGTATTTGTTCAACGAACAGATCATCAGTGTAATTCTGCCACAATTAGACAGCCAAGAAGGACTCCGAAGTTTTACTATCCTCTCCGTACACACCAGATTGAACGCAGCCACACCGAGAGCTTATTCTGGGGTAGGAAGTGAAGCTCATTAATTCTATCGCTTCAGCAACACTGGAAATATTATCGGGTTTTCGACAGAAGATGAATGGCTTAATTTTAGAGGTGCTAAACACCTCCCACCTACTTCACAGGCACTTGGTTACAGATTTGGCTGAATTGATATGAATAGTGTAGTATCCACACATGAATGTAAGAGAATCTTATGAATTTGTTTACGTATAAACGGAAGATATACGTAAATGCGGTCAAGCAGAAAAGGAATTCTATCTTCTGAAAGTGCTTGCATCTCAGAGAAAATATCTCACAGGGTCGCTATTTGTTCACGATTTACCCCGCCGTTCTTTCTCTACCTGGAAACTCGCGGCTTATTCTCGTGACCAATCGGCCGGAGATCCCTGAGCAAAGGTGGACCGTATTTTTGAGTCCCATAGCCGAAAAGCCTTTCAGAAGCCAGTGCTCTTGCTCTCGAAGAAAAATATTTCATGGAAGTTTGAGTGCGGAAAGGTTCTCATGGAGTTCGCTCATTGTACCACTCATATTACCTTTATTACGCTTGTAAACATGGACATTCCTCACATTGCATTGAATAAATTGTCTGGAAAGATACACGTTATCTGAAAGCTCCTTGCTTGATTTTTCTTGATGCTGCTTTTACGCATTTTAACATCAAAATAGAAAAATCGCACCAGTAATGCAACTACTGTTACATAGTTAACAAAGTGAGCGAATGACAACAATCAGAACTCACAGCAAGTAAAATTGGAAAAAAGACAACAGTTCTCACCAGTCAGTGAGTCACAAGGTAATGAATTTCTTCAGGATCACAAAGGGTTACGGGTATTTTGATGGATAACCGGGTACGATCCGGAATAACAAAAGTGGAAATGCTTTGATCTGCAGAAAAAACAAGCTCAATAAGTCGCAGAATGTACACCGTCTCTGTGTCGTTTAGTAAGTAGTGGGAAGGAAAGTAGTGGTAAGAGAACAAGTTTCGAAATCTGCAAGATGTCATTGAATGTTTTCCACAATGACACAATGACTACACGCCATGAAAAATGTTTCTCTTCGTTCAGCAAATACAACACCAGAATTGTTGTCACAAACATCGACCTTCACGATCGTTTTTATGCGACGGATCAAATCACACTCAGTGAGATCGTCTTGAAAGAAACAAGGGTAGGAAAATAGATCTTCGAGAGCTGCATGCAAGACAGGACTTTCGATGGCTGTATGCTGAACACCTTGTTATTTATGCAAGACTGGTTAGAAAATCCTGTTGATCTTGATTTCCACACCTATCGATCCCATACTAAAGAAGCTTACTGAAATCCTTATAAGAAATCCTCCTTTCTTCTTTGCTCGTCAGTCTTAAATTTCAACAGAAGCGTCAACATAGCGAAAGTACGAGAACTATTGCACTATTTCCGACGGTCTTTTGTAATCAAAGGAAGGTCTTAGGTTTGGTATGTTTGAACGAAGTGTCTTCATCCTCAGTTCACAATTTCTGAACTGCCAATATGTTTTTTTTATATTTTAGATGATTCATCTTCACGTCAACTGTGTGGGATCCCAGCGCTTCTCACATTCGATTCGTTTCCTCGCATCCATCATCCACGATGGTCTTCCAACTTTTTACTTGTGGCTTCGGTTGCTGCTTGAGGATTTTCATTTCATCATGAATGTCGTAGTATTGTGGTAGAGCAATTCTCCTTGTAGTCCTGAGAGAGCCGGGCTGGAACGTCCCCAATTGGATTGCATAGAGTGACTTTTTCCAGGACAAGTCGGGCACCGATTTCCCGACCCCGGAGGGATAAGGACTTGGTTGGCCCGGAACGGAATCGAACTAGCACTATGCTCGTGACGACGGACATCCCTACCACTGTGCTGTTCGCCTCTTGTCATTGTGTTTATTGTGCGGTAGTCAAAAAATTTAGAATTTCTATATATGATGAGAGCTTTCTATAACATAAGCAATTCGTTCCAACAACGGTCTCCACATTTTCTCAACAAGCGTCACTAATAGATGGGAAACACGGTTCCATTCCATACAGAGAAAGTAAAGCAAACGGTAGAGATGATTGATTGTGTTGTCAAAAGCAGTGGTGTTGATAGATAGACACAATCGGCCTATTTAAGCAGTGTGAGTGGTAAGGTTGTTAGTTTTAATGACATGGCGCTTTCGGAAACTCAGAGTGCAGAAAAGGTATTCGGTCTTATTCAATTGCCTCTTAGTAACCCGCTAATAGAGAAGCACCATGCGATTCATAGGTGTCAATCAGGCAGTGATGCTAGGGCTCCGTCTGGCACTTGGTAATGGGTCCGCCTTCCATAGAAATAACAATAGCTGTTTTCGATTTTCTACGACAACGCAAAAATTTGCCCCAGTTCTAGATTGACCCATGGTTGAGCAGCCAGAAATTTTTCCACGGGTATCTTATGCGTGAGGATTTACCCTCACTTCTTCAAAACCATGGAGATTTTCTCGTACGATGTAATGAGGTGAATCCTTCGCAAGTTCATTTTATAGAACAAGTAATAGAATAGGCAAGATAAATAGGAATAAATAGAATTAAGAATGGGTTAATTGAATGCCTAAGCAACATAGAAAACTGAGTTTCCATCTTTGTGCAACAATGTTTTACTTGAAGGCTAGAAAAGGACAACAAAAAGAGGTAGTCGTCTCTGTTCTTCATGATCCTGACGGTAAATGTAAAACGCTCAATGACGAAAATAAGCTTGAAGCGGTATGCTTTAGAACTACATAAGTAATCGATAAGTTCGAAAATTCAGAAAAGTTAGTGGAGAGTTGAATGGCTTCTTCAAAATTACAATGTCAAGAATAGGATGAGTTCTTCATATTTTTCGTAAACAATACAACACATAAAAGGATAATGAAGGGCAAAACTCTCGACGTTGATCTATCTCTTAGCGATGCACCATGCATTCGACTTCATTAAGCATCGTTGGAAGTGGTTGAATGCATATCTGGCCTTTGCAATGACTCGCGGTGGCCTACCGATGTTTCGAGCCAGTGGTGCCATCTTCCCAGAGAAGTCTGGTGCCAATTTGTCGACCCGGAGGGATGGAAGGCTTGGCGAGCCACCAGCGCGGAGAACGATCCCGTGTTTGTGTTGTGGGGCGCCTCTAACCACTGCACCACAAGCGCCGCTTTTATAACACATAAGATAAGTTGTTTCTGGTGTATTCGAATAAAATTTTGTTGAAAGCCGTCCTAATATAGTGGCAATTTTTTAGCATCTAAGGAAATGAAGCATAAAAACATGCAGGAAGGAGTTTCGAACAGCCTACTTTTACAGACCCATAACGTCATCGTCCAGACTGCGACGGAAAATAAAGTTAAGAAGTACTTTTTTGATCCACGCGAGAAATTTCCAACAATCAAAGAACTCATAACGCATTATACAGAAACTCCCATTGTTGTCAAGCAGGCATGTCGATTTTAGTTATGTCTCTTCTGTATGCTACATTATACAATCTCATTTAAAATGTAGAAAAGTGTTATCAAGATGAACGGCAGACTATAAGGCTGTATTAGGCGATGTTGATAATAGGAGATCAGACGTTAAAGTGCTGGAAGCGTAGTGGTTCGAAATACCGTGCAATACGCTCATGACTGGTTCGACTTCGAACCGGATAAACCAAACCCTAAACATAAACGTGGTCTTCAAATTATAAGGCTGACCTGGGAAAAGACTTATCCGGTCAACAAATGCTAGCAACTACCCGTGGTGGAAATCTGAGAACGCTCTATCAGAGACTACCCAAGATTCCGGGTATAAGCAATTCGACCAGAACTCAAAGATATTCATGAAGAAAACGAACTTTTCCACTGGGATCCGTCCCTTCACGCAAATGCAAATACGTTTGAGGCAACGAACAGGGTGAAAGGAGTGCTGGGATCATCACAATGTGTGAAGTTGTGTCACGTAAATAAATCAGAAGGCTAGTATAATACTACTAATTCAACAGCTCAACGTAGATGAATGTTATGGTGGACCACGGTGTGCGGTAGTTCTGCGAAGAATTTATCAACATGTCGTGTAATTACACATGTTTTTCTACACATATTAACACGTTTTCACACTTTCGGACAAGTTAGCGGTTGTAATTATTTCGGACGACAGTCCACTGAACATCAGGTCAACGATAATGTCGTCAGAAAAAACTGCGTCCACTTCTATCGTAACGGATCTTCATCGTTGCGCGCCTCACTTAAGTGCTTTGTGCCGTCGCTGCTTCTGAAAGCTGCGCGAAATTATAAACGAGCGAATTTCATCGATAGTAGATACAATCCAGTTCTATTTTATAACTAGAGTCTAAAGGTCTATTTCTTAATCGCTAAAGGCAACAATCATTGTGCTGATAGCGACCCCAAGGAAGCAGAGCTTCTATGGGAAATAATAATTTTTCCGAAAGTAGTAAAAACAGTGCAATGTCAGCCTCATCACAAGCCTCACAGGTCTTTCCTGTGTAATCAGTAAAAATATGTACTTGCTGTACGTTTCTTTTGAAGAGAAAACACTAGTGTTTAGGTGGAGTTAACCTTGAAAAGAGGAATTCGCTTAGCAAAATGGGAATACTCTCCGCAGTCAGTGCAAGTCGGGAAATTGATCACAACGGTAACATATGGAGAAATTAGAGAGGGTAAACTAACGAAAACCGATGGCACAGTCATCGATGTCGCTATAAAAGTGGTTAGAACATCACTCAATTTTGTCTTGTTTCAGAAATACCCTATGAGCTACATTTTTTGAATTCTAGATGAAAGGTCCTTCGGAAACGTGTAAGCAGCAAACGAAGGAGATGGTAAAAGAGGCCCGCCTTATGAGAAATCTTAATCACACGAACATCATACGCTTCTACGGAGTTTGTCTACTTGAACAGCCAATATATTTACTGTTTGAGTTGCTATCAGGTATTCTTGTGCAGTACTTGACAAAAACTCAAACTGCAACGTGCTGCAAGCGTTTTGTGTTCAAAAATTCTTTTTGAAAGAGCTCACTGCTTTCCAACCACCCCTGTTCGGCCAAATAAAATCATTATGGTTAAATCAGCAAGTGTAGAGCAGCAGTTGAAGATTCCTTGCGCTAAACACATGGACTGTGGCTCGATCCTGCGCTCTGGGCTAACTGAATCCTCTTCGTTCCGGTGTCAGCAAATTGGATACTAAGGCTTGGCAGAAGAGATAGATACACTGGATTAATGCATCTGTGGAACAATGCAAGTCATCGTGTAGGCCAAATATGAATTCGAGTACCTTTGTGATACTAAGAATAAGGTCGAATGCATGGAACATCCATCAGTGAGCGATCAATACCGAACAATTTATCTTTCATACTTTATACTCTGCGTACTGTATCAAGCGTTTCAGTTCTGCTAGCCGTAGTTGGACCTAAGCATTGGTGCTGGAATTCTGAAGCATGGACAAAGTATTCATTGCTGTACTTGAGATAATTTATCTTTTATGTGATCCAGTTATAGCAAACTACCAGGTGGATGGAAAATACAGGCGTCTATTTAGTGTATCCCCAGCCAGAATTTTGTCCAGGAGTCAGAAACTAAGGTCATATGTGATCGACCAAATCGAAACAGTATTCAGACCACATTGCCGCTATCGAGCTAACTTTTGAGATTTCTTTCTAGCAAGAGTCGGGTGGTGGAAAGCTCTCATAGAAGGAGATGGAATCGATTTTCACTTTGATTTTCCGTTTAGGAGGGCCGTTGGATGTTTATCTTATGAAACACAAACAGGAGATAAGTAAAGACGAAAGATTACAAATGGTGATGAGTGTTGGCTGGGGTCTTGAATATTTACACTCAAATGCCATACTCCATAGGGACATCGCGGCAAAGAGTTGCTTCTACAGTGTCGGAAAGCTTGTGAGTTAAAATTAGGTGTTCCTGTGTGAGATAACTTGAAGAAACTGTTCAAAAACGGAGGAATTCCACATCCATTGTCTTTATGTTTTAACCATTAGAAGAAACGTTATTCTGCCATAAAATAATATGAGGTACTCAACGAAAGCGCGCGTGTGGTGCAGTGGTCGGAGGCGCCTTGCAACGCACACGCGGAATCGATCCCTGCGCCGATGGCCCACCAAGCCATCTATCCCTCCGAGATCGGAAAATTGGTACCAAACTTGTCTGGGAGGATAGCAGCACTGGCTCGGTACATCGATAGGCTATCGCGAATCATTGTAAAGGCCGGAAATCATTCAATCACTTCGAAGCGTTGATCAACGCCGAAAGGTTGGTAGTTACGGAAAAAATATCGCCGCATTCCAGTCCCTAACGCCTCATCTTCCCTAACGAGAACTGTGCTCTTATATACATCCACACGTCTGCTAGAGAATACCTACTACTTCAATCTGAAAGAACAGTGAGATATTTTAGGTGAAAATCAGTGAATTTGGTTTATCCCGTCAAGGTACCATTTATTCGATGAAGACAGCAAGAAAAATGTCCATAAAATGGATGGCTCCAGAAAGTTTAAGGACATTAATGTTCACTCAAAAAAGCGATGTCTATAGCTATGGGGTGAATCTTGAAACCATTTTTCCTTTATGAGTTATTCGTTTATATTTGACAAGCTTCCTCCATTTTACAGGTGTTGATATACGAGGTGTTTTCCTGTGCAGAACCCTATCCGAAACTAACGGTGAACGCTGCTAAGAATGCTGTGAGTTACTGCATTTGCCTTTGAAATTTTCTTACATCTATATAAACGTCAGTAAGTTGAAGATACTGAACGGATCTCTAAACGAATTCCCGGAATCGACACCTAAAAACCTGGTACAGTACGTGAAAGAAAAGATATGGGACTTCGTTCCAGAAAAGCGTTCAGACATGCAACAAGTGGGTTACTATGCACATATTGGTAACATGATACGCATGAGCTTTTCTACACTCAAACATTCGTTCTGGAAACGAGTCCTCAAAACCTATGAATGTTGGAATAGTAGAAATGGTTTCTTGCTCTGCTCTTACTACGTCAGCTTACTTCAGGTGGTGAAGTGGATGGAGTCTTTCAGTGGTCTTTCTCTCATCAGACATCAAGATAAGGTGAACTGCAGTCGGACACTGCGATAAAGTGAATTGCATTCTACAAAAAAGGGAAAGATTTGAGAGTGATATGATAACGTGGCGCGTGCGGCGCAGTGGTCGGAGGTGCCTCGCAACGCACACGTGGAATCGATCTCCGCACCCGTGTCCCACTAAGGCCACGTCCTTTTTTATGCTGACAACTAATTACTACCGTAATCTATCAAGAAAACAATAACATCGTTACGGTCTTGCCAGTTTGACAATTTGGACGATCAGAATATGACAATTAAAGAACGTAGTCAACAATATTCCCTAAAATTATGTGAATTTCAGTGAAACGAAGAACAGACGAACTTAAAATCAACGCCAAAACAATAGAATCTCTATTTAAAATCTGAGACAAGTAATCGATAAAGCATCCTTGTTTGTTTCGAGATCACACAGAAATAAAAAATCGATAAAATTTTCAAGCCACGGCTTTCCCGACGTCATAAATCTGTTTTTAAACCTGAAGTAATCTAAGCTGTTATTTATTATAAATGAATTCGTTGTTGAACAGTTAGTACTAGATTAGGAACTGCCAGCGAAAGTGAATACAAAGCAGGAAAATTGGGAATCGCAGATTGACATGAGAATGGAAACTTTATTGTTGGACTACTGTCCGCAGTACGTCTCTCCCATAGAAATTCAGCGATCCGATCACTGCCCTCCTCGTGCGAAGAATCTATTCAGCCGTAAGATGGAAAGGAACTCCTGGCATTCTCGAAGGAAAACAAGACGTCGTGTTTGACGAAGATCAACTGTACCACATGTTGTCCCTATTGATTTTCCAGTGACTCGACCGAGCGCTAGTAAATCTCCCATTTCTACCTGTCGCGTTCAAGAGTAGCCCAGTGGGTTTTGCTCGCTCTAGGGAGTCGTTGAGCATCATATCTTTCTTCTAGGCTTTTCGTGAACAACTCTGACTATCGGGTCGGTGGTCTTCCTGCAGTGGGTTTAACAGAATCCAGTCACTAACTGCTTTTGTCCATCGATTGTCGTTCATGCGCATTACGTATCCGGCCCACCTTATCTACGACTGTTTGGTGTACAGAACGGCATCTTTGATTTTGGATTGTTAACACAGGTCGGAGTTTCGGATCTTTTACTTGCGCGACACGGAATACTCCTGGCGTCGTCCTTTCGATTGCGCGTTCAATAACACTGAGTGACGTTTTATCCTGATTATGTAGCTACCGGGTTTGTGACGCAAACGTTAAGGCAGGAGGTACCGTTGGGTCGAAAAGGGGGCACGCAGTCGGGTGTTCTTTGTTCTCTCCACTACATCCTCCATGCTCTTGAAAGCTTCCCAAGCTGCTCGCTTTCCCATGCTCAACTCTGGAACTATGTTGTTCATCATGGTAATTTCCCGACCGAGATAGACGTTACTGAAGCAATCGGAAATATTCATTCCGCATGTGGGCTGTTAGTTCAACTTCGTCTAAAACTGTGCCCACAGCCCACAGAGCGCTTGAGAGGTGTATTCTGAAGCTTAACCACCACCAACCACTCAACCACCAACCACCATACGTCTAGACGTAATGTGCAATTCAGATCTTCGAACCTTATTCCATCTTCATGGGCCAGGAGAATATTCATCAATATCGAAAAATGGATGAGCAGGTCACATAATAAGAAGGACTGATGACAGATGGACGAAAGAAACAGTAGAGTGGACTCCGAAAGAATGCAAGCGTCTTCTTAGAAGACTACCTAAACGATAGGAGGACGTGTCCCTAGCTATCGTCAACCATCTGCATCCGCAGATAAGAGCGATTTCAAAGCTACAAAATAGGCTATCGCGAACGTCAACATTTTCGAAGCAGGCCATCGCCATGGGCGGCACTACCATGAGAGAGAAAGGATTGGAAATTGCGCTGCTGCCCACATTACCAAAGAGAAGAGCCCGTTCGAACAGCCACGTAAGTAAGTAGGTTCAGTGCCTCATCGGGCTCAGTAGGCCTCTCTTCTCTATGAGGTAAGGAAATTGTTATCGGACATGTCTGGGATCAAATCGCTATCACCATTCTACGAGGAAACTCCGCAAAAATACGGTTATCCTAAGATTGCAGGGCGATTCGACTAGACCACCAGAATTCAACGGCATTCGTGACGAAGACGAAAATTTTCAAGCCACAGCCGAGCTCACATGGAAAAAGTTGGACAAATTGTGTGGACGATGAATGCGAGCAATGTGATTCGAACGCAGGTAGTACTGATGTGTGCACAAAACGTGTCTTCTTGTTTTGTAAAGTGATTTATGGCTTTCGTTAAAGTTTAGCTAAACATTAGGCTTTTTGTCTGAAAAAGCCGCCTAAGATTGCGAGGCAGTTATTTTCGTCCACCGCTTTTCAAATTGGAAGAGTTAAAGATTCTCCATCATATATAATGCTGAGATATTTGCAAAACTCCGGACCGCAGGTGCATGCGGTGGGGAACGAACACGCGCTGTTGTCCTTTCCAGGGAGTAACGCGTCACCACCACACCATGCGGGCCCAGAAAAAGGAAAAGGCAGTAAATAAAAGGGTTAAGATTCTCCATCATATTTTAAAATTTTTCAAAATGGAAGCAAGATTAAATAAAAACCGATTTTAAAAGATATCCTTTCGCTACTTACCAGTTAGTGAAGTGCCAACTGTCGTACGGTTCAACGTTACCCATGAAAGAGGTAGTCATCAATGAAGAATAAATCAAAAATCGTCTTGTATAATGGGGTACTGCCGAGGAAACTTCATTTACGTGATAATCCACCCTAACGAGTTCGACTCCATTCGACTGCTAGTACAAAAGTAGCAAGAAATAACTCCTATATACACCGGGCTCAAATCACTGCAGCTCTGAAGAAAGCAATGCAACCAAAGCATTGAAGACAATAGCGAGACTTTATTCACAGTAACGTGTAAGCTTCTGAATATAGGTCATTCATGTCGTGATTAAATGATAGTCGGTATACAGTGATAATAATCAGTTTAATGTCCTTCTTCTTTCATTCATAGGCTTACCTAAATGAAAATTGAACAGGTTTTTTGCGAGCCGAATAAAAAATGCGTCAAGTCAGTTCGGTTTGGTTTCCGTTATTAAAAGGACAAAGGATAAAGCTCTTGAGGTTGATCAATCCCTGAAGGATCCGCCATGCATTCAACTTCATTAAGCATCGTTCGGAGGTGATTGAATGCATATATGGCCTTTACAATGAGTCACGGTGGCCCACCGATATATCGAGCCAGTACTGCCTCCTAGACCTGTCTGGTATCAATTTGCCGAAGGCGGAGGGATAGAAGGCTTGGTGGGCCATGGGTGCGGGGATTGATTCCACGTGTGCGTTTCAGGGCGTCTCCGACCACTGCTCCAGACGCGCCCTTTATGTTATTGGTCATTCTCATATCTCTCACAATGAAATGGAAGTAACGATAAAGCGCTGATCAATCTCTGAGGTGTCCACGATGAATGCGACTCCATTGGCGCCTAGGTTTAAACAGTGACTTCTTAAAGTCCATCTATGTATTAACGCAAGGGTTTTATACTCCCAGACAATTCTACTGGCAACTTGTTGACACCAGTGAAATGGAGAGCTTGCTAAGTACGGGGCGCTTGATTGAATCAACGACCGATTATTTGCGTAATTTGGGGCACCATCGGTAAAGCCGGAAACCTATCGACATCGCCGGCTATTTGACTGGCGATCATTATTCGATAACTAGAGCACTTAGTGTAAGAATTTAACAGAGTTATAGAAAAACTTCATGGTACAATCGCGACAATGAGTGCTGATTTCACCACTTAACGCCCAACTGTTTGTCTTGCGACTTTTCTCTGTTATACGTTTGGTTACCAAATGATATCTCCCCATCACAGGCTGGCAGACCTATCCACCTCCGCCCCCTCCACCTCATTCTGCACTTCCGTATGACTTTGTAAATTACAAAGAATTTCCTCTCGGGTTTGCTCGATCGGTAAAGAGACTGTTGTTGATCAGGGTGGTACCATGAGATGTCTAGTGCAAAAGTACAATTGCACTATAGCTCCGTGGCAACCACCTGCATTTTTCACGGATAGGATAGCACAAAATGCTATGCTCATGAATAGGATCCTTGACGATTTCTTTTTTTTCAGTGGAGCAGAGGTGCAACAAAGAAAAATGGACATTTTGATTTCAATGCAGTCAACGTTTGGGAAGACAACTGCTCATTTTATGCAACAGACACGTTTCGCTGACGTGCTAACGAAGGCCCAACGAATGCAGACGTTCACGAAGCAGGCGGGGACAACATCCTTCTGCACGAGATACCTCTCTTGCAAACGTTTCACTGTTCGCATTAAATTCTTATCATGACCGAATAAGGATTGAGTCTTGTTGGCAAACATATGGAGATGCTACTAGTTTTCGTTTTAACTAATAAAGTTGACTACGAACTGAGATGTTTGTTTGGAGCTTGAATGTCAAGACATTTTCGCTTACATATGATACATATCGTCCATAACACACTAAAATTAGTGACAAAGATCGTGATTCATTTCCCAAAAACTATACCGGTTATTATGAAACATCTGGAGTGAAAGCTTGTGAAGGATAAAAGACTGATGACGAAATTATCCATTATATTAGAACGAGTTATCGA